CCCACCCACCCAAAAAAAAAGCACGCGCGATCGTAACGACGGGGACGCAGAACGGGAGTCCAAAATGTGAGACGAGGCGGGAGAGGCTGAAAGATGTGTTGCAGTACAGTCCGCACCACCAACCTTATGGCTTGTTGTGAAACGTACTATCCGCGTAATCCCCGCACCTCGGTGAGATTACAACGAACGGCGGGTCTCAACTGCATGCGGCCGGCGCGGTTGTTTTTTGACGTTTTTTTGGTTTTGTTTTTTTGTTTTTTTGTTTGTTGTTGTTTTTGTTGTTGTGTGGTTTTGACGACTGACATTCCAGAATCGGAAAAGAAAGGTCAAACTGGGGTCATTTGACGTTCGAGGGGAGTCGTCATTTTCGACGCTAAAACGACTATTCCCCTTTATTTTTCGGCAAGGGGAAAAAATCGGGGAAGACAAGAAGAAATGCAGCAGCAGCTAGGGTTGGAAATTTCCGAAAATTTCCGGAAAACACGGGGAAATTTTCGGGATTTGGAATTTTTTTCCAATTTTTCCAATTTTTCCGGGAATTTTCCGGAAACTTTCCAGGACTTCCAACCCTAGCAGCAGCAGCAGCAGCAGCAGAATGAGAAGAATATGAGCGGGCAATGTAAGGTGTGCGACATCCGGAACCAGAACGTCCGCATGAGCGAGCGCGGCGGCGTGCACAACACTACACCACGCGCGGCGGCGCTGCGCGGCGCCCGCTGCTCCTCGACGTGCTGCGGGCAGTGTATGATTAGACACGCGGCTGCCCCGCGCAGCCCTTCCTGGTTCCAGCTCCAGGGCCTCCAGGCTGCTGCTGGCTCCGCTGGCCCGGCTCTGCCAGCGAGCGCTCTGCTGCTGCTGCTGCTCTTGCGTTCGACACACTTGCGCGCGGCGTTCTCGCGTCCACTCCCCGACGAATTGGCCATTTCAGCGGGGTGGGGTGGGCTAGTACAGTCACGGAAACTGTTTCCGTCGCGGTCCCCGCCAAACTAAAAAAAGAAGTGTAAAACAAAACTAAAAACTAAAATCATGGAAAAAGATTGTCTGCAGTAAACA